AAAGAATCTTATTAAAGAACCTGTGTGTTTCCTGTGAGTGACTCGCCTCTCCACAAACCCGACTCTTATTTGGCCTCCTCCCGCTCGTCTCCACGGAAACGTTGTTCCTCTGGCTGTAATATTCCACAGTAGGGCATTAAACATCTCCATGGAGAATGTTCTGAAGTTTGGTTTTAACTTTCAGGTGATGTTCCGCCTCCAGAAAGTTCCAGACTGTGGCTTTAAATGTTCATAAAGTAAAAGTTGAGGTTTCAGGTGTTTGTTTGTGTTTGTGTTTTTATTATTCAAGAGTTTCATCAAATATTCACTTAACTTTTTTTTAAAATAACATTTTAATAAAAAAAACAATTTAAAATGTACAAAGACTTGAGAGGAGATCGACCAATCACAGGCCTCCGCCGAGCCCCGCCTCCTCCAGGGGGGCGTGGCCTGAGGGGACTTCACTTCCCAGTGTTCTCCACCAGGGGGCGCGCTCGGACTGCAGCAGGGCATTGTGGGAGTCTCTGGCCCGAACGGCGATGGAGGGGGAGGGGCTAAGGAAAGACTCCGCCTCCGAGAGCGTGACAGAGGAAAGGGGCGGGGCTTCTGCACAGGAATAAAAACAACAACAACAACAACTTTAATTTAACACTTTACACTCATTTTTAATAATACAGTACTTTTATTTTAATGTATATTTTTTCAGCAACAGTAGTAGTAGTATTTGTAGTATTTGCAGTAGAGTGTAGTAGTAGTAGTAGTAGTAGTATTTGCAGTAGTAGTAGTAGTACCTCGGAGCGTGTGGAGCTGTGTGTGGGTGTGGGCCAGTAGAGTGTAGTAGTAGTAGTAGTAGTATTTGCAGTAGTAGTAGTAGTACCTCGGAGCGTGTGGAGCTGTGTGTGGGTTGGGCCAGTAGAGTAGTAGTAGTAGTAGTAGTAGTATTTGCAGTAGTAGTAGTAGTACCTCGGAGCGTGTGGAGCTGTGTGTGGGTGTGGGCCAGTAGAGTGTAGTAGTAGTAGTAGTAGTAGTATTTGCAGTAGTAGTAGTAGTACCTCGGAGCGTGTGAGCTGTGTGTGGGTGTGGGCCAGTAGAGAGTAGTAGTAGTAGTAGTAGTATTTGCAGTAGTAGTAGTAGTACCTCGGAGCGTGTGGAGCTGTGTGTGGGTGTGGGCCAGTAGAGTGTAGTAGTAGTAGTAGTAGTATTTGCAGTAGTAGTAGTAGTACCTCGGAGCGTGCTGAGCTGTGTGTGGGTGTGGGCCAGTAGAGTGTAGTAGTAGTAGTAGTAGTAGTAGTAGTAGTAGTAGTACCTCGGAGCGTGTGGAGCTGTGTGTGGGTGTGGGCCAGTAGAGTGTAGTAGTAGTAGTAGTAGTATTTGCAGTAGTAGTAGTAGTACCTCGGAGCGTGTGGAGCTGTGTGTGTGGGTGTGGGCCAGTAGAGTAGTAGTAGTAGTAGTATTTGCAGTAGTAGTAGTAGTACCTCGGAGCGTGTGGAGCTGTGTGTGGGTGTGGGCCAGTAGAGTGTAGTAGTAGTAGTAGTAGTAGTATTTGCAGTAGTAGTAGTAGTACCTCGGAGCGTGCTGAGCTGTGTGTGGGTGTGGGCCAGTAGAGTGTAGTAGTAGTAGTAGTATTTGCAGTAGTAGTAGTAGTACCTCGGAGCGTGTGGAGCTGTGTGTGGGTGTGGGCCAGTAGAGTGTAGTAGTAGTAGTAGTATTTGCAGTAGTAGTAGTACTCGGAGCGTGTAGCTGTGTGGTTGGGCCAGTTAGTAGTAGTAGTAGTAGTATTTGCAGTAGTGTAGTAGTACCTCGGAGGCGCTGAGCTGTGTGTGGGTGTGGGCCAGTAGAGTGTAGTAGTAGTAGTAGTAGTAGTATTTGCAGTAGTAGTAGTAGTACCTCGGAGCGTGTGGAGCTGTGTGTGGGTGTGGGCCAGTAGAGTGTAGTAGTAGTAGTAGTATTTGCAGTAGTAGTAGTAGTACCTCGGAGCGTGTGGAGCTGTGTGTGGGTGTGGGCCAGTAGAGTGTAGTAGTAGTAGTAGTAGTAGTATTTGCAGTAGTAGTAGTAGTACCTCGGAGCGTGTGGAGCTGTGTGTGGGTGTGGGCCAGTAGTGTGTTGATCTTCTGTTCTTCTCGTCTCGTCTGAACCACAGATTGACAGTGAGACGCCCAAAGACTCTGAACCTCCTCATGAAGAAACACACACTCCTCCAGAGACACACGACCCGACTGAAACACACACAGCACACACCTGATCACACCTGGATCACACCTGGATCACACCTGGATCACACCTGGATCACACCTGGGATCACACCTGGATCACACCTGGATCACACCTGGATCACACCGGGATCACACCTGGATCTGGATATGGTTTAGTCCTGGTTTAGACCTGGTTTAGTCCTGGTTTAGTCCTGGTTTAGTCCTGGTTAAGTCCTGGTTCAGTCCTGGTTTAGTCCTGGTTTAGTCCTGGTTTAGTCCTGGTTTAGATGGGGAGAGGAGGACTGAAAGACACAGGAGTGAGACAAAAGTAATCGTAGTAGTATTTGTATTCGCAGTATTTGTAGTAGTAGTATTTGTAGTCGTAGTAATCGTAGCAGTTGTCGCAGCAGTAGTCCTAGTATCTGTAGTAGTTGTAGTAGTATTAGTAGTAGTAGTAGTAGTATTAGTAGTATTTATAGTAGTAGTAGTATTAGTAGTATTTAGTAGTAGTAGTAGTAGTAGTAGTATTAGTAGTAGTAGTTGTAGTAGTATTTATAGTATAAGTAGTAGTAGTAGTAAATGTACCGGGTGGAGAGTGATGTAATCTTCCACCTGCTTCTTCAGCTCCGCCCTCCTCCTGTCCGTCAAACCCTTCTGACCAATCCAGAAGGAGGAGGGCGGGACTTTAGCAGCTCGACGGCGCTCGAGGAACAAACGCACCTGAAACACACAAACGCACAAACACAAGTGAAACACACAACTACTACACACATAGTATTAGTATTAGTATTAGTATTAGTATTAGTAGTAGTAGTAGTAGTATTTTGGACTGACCGCTCTCTGGAGCACCGTTGCCGCTCTGTTCCGTCGGAGTCGTTCTTTTTCTTTTTCTTTGTGGAGTTTGAACTTGTGTCTTTGTCTGAAGCCTCGAAACTGAGTCTGGATCAACACGGCCGCACGACGCTCACACTCACACAGGTACGAACTCACCTGGTCTAAAAAACACACACAAACACACACACTCACACAGGTACGAACTCACCTGGTCTAAAAAACACACACAAACACACACACTCACACAGGTACGAACTCACCTGGTCTACAAAACACACACAAACACACACACACTCACACAGGTACGAACTCACCTGGTCTAAAAAACACACACAACACACACACACACTCACACAGGTACGAACTCACCTGGTCTAAAAAACACACACAAACACACACACTCACACAGGTACGAACTCACCTGGTCTAAAAAACACACACAAACACACACACTCACACAGGTACGAACTCACCTGGTCTAAAAAACACACAAACACAAACACACACACACTCACACAGGTACGAACTCACCTGGTCTAAAAAACACACACAAACACACACACTCACACAGGTACGAACTCACCTGGTCTAAAAAACACACACAAACACACACACTCACACAGGTACGAACTCACCTGGTCTAAAAAACACACACAAACACACACACTCACACAGGTACGAACTCACCTGGTCTAAAACACACACACACACACTCACACAGGTACGAACTCACCTGGTGGTGTTTGTATTAAGTTCTCCTCGGGGTCACATTGACCCTCTCGCTCTCTTGGGGCGGGTCAATCAGACCCAAACATTTATTTTCTTGCCTGGTGAGAATTTATTTGATAACACATTTTTGGGTCTGATTGACCCGCCCCAAGAGAGCGGGAGGGTTAAAGTGACCCCGAGCAGAGCGGGGGGGTTAAAGTGACCCCGAGCAGAGCGGGGGGGGGGGGTTAAAGTGACCCCGAGCAGAGCGGGGGGGTTAAAGTGACCCCGAGCAGAGCGGGGGGGTTAAAGTGACCCCGAGCAGAGCGGGGGGGTCAATGTGACCCCGAGGAGAGTGTGAGGGTCAGAGTTTAATAACAGAGTTGTACCTGGAGGCAGGAGCTGCAGCAGTTGTCTCTGTTTAAGGTGGAACTTTCTCCTGGCCTGATGCCGCCTTAAATTCACCTGAGATTGAAGAAGAAATGAGATTTTAATAGTTTTGGTTTAGATATTTTAAATCATTCATTCATGATATAAATGTTTATTTTCTGTCTGAACTGTGTTTTTCTGTCACATAAACGACTAAACTCACACGTGGAGCTGAAACGAGTGAAAGTGAAAGTGAACTTTCCTGTGAAGAAGCGTCTCTGTGTTTCTGCTTCAGAGTTTAAACTATTTAAATGAGGAAATAAAGAAAGTGAAATGTGTGAGCGTCTGGAGCGGCGTCCGTCCTGGGACCAAACCCTCTGACGCTGATCAGGTCGTATCGACCTTTACGAGGTTTTCTACAGGTGAGGGTCACAGAGGTCAGAGGTCAGAGGTCACACACTGACCTGGTATCGCAGAGTTTCCTCACAGAGACGAGCCTCCTGCTGCTTCTGCTGCTGCTGCCGACGACTCCTGAAACAAACACACACACAACAGAGACCTGGTCCAGTCCCGGTCCAGACCCAGTCCAGTCCCAGTCCCAGTCCCAGACCCGGCCCAGTCCCGGTCCAGTACCTGTACTTCCTCTGTAAAGTGCTCACTGCTCTGTTGAGGTTCTGGACTCTTCTTCTGGTCGTGTGGGACCTCCAGGCGGCCTGGATCACACACGCCGCTCGCACACGCTCAGTGTCGTCCTAAACAGGAAGTAAACAGACGAATGACATCATCAAAACGCGAGGATTAAATCTAAACAAAACATTTCCCATAAAGTTCTAAATATTTAAGACGAGACAAACGTGAGACTCTGTAAAGGTTCATCTGACGACTCACCGAGCTCTCACTGGATTGGACGATTTTGATCAACTGATCCACTTCCTGGTCGAAGCCCCGCCCCCTCCAGTCGTTGCTAAGGAGACGGTCCAAACCTGAGGATCAGACGTCGTTTCAAACATCTGAAGGAAATAAATCCAAGTAAACGTGCGACTGACCTCTGAACGCCCGCAGCAGAGGAGGGAGGCGGCCTCGCAGCTCACCGGCCAATAGCAGCAGCAGTCTGACTGAAGCCCCGCCCACCCGTGCCTCAGAGCTCACGGCTAATTGGCCGATGATGTCGTTGAGCAGCAGAGTGACAGATTCATCAGACAAACGGCTCACAAAGTCCCTGTGAAGATATTTAAAATAACAACATGAGATGATGGAAAAAAAGAAGGTTCAGGCAAATAGAAAATATAAAATATAAATATAAAAAAGTTCTGTTCATGTAAATTTAAATATGACCAGGAACAGGAGTTTAGTTTCAGTTTAATTGTCAGTTTTTGTCTCTGACTTCATGTTCAAGCGCCGTGTTTATTTTAAAATCCTGGTTTGAACTTCCAGAGATTTAAATGGACAGAGTCCCGACATGTGACACGTGGGTCAGGTGTGTGTGTCAGGTGTGTGTGTGTCAGGTGTGTGTGTGTGTCAGGTGTGTGTGTCATGTGTGTCAGGTGTGTGTGTGTCAGGTGTGTGTGTCAGGTGTGTGTGTGTCAGGTGTGTGTGTGTCAGGTGTGTGTGTCAGGTGTGTGTGTCAGGTGTCTGTTGTGTGTGTCAGGTGTGTGTGTGTGTGTCAGGTGTGTGTGTCAGGTGTGTGTGTCAGGTGTGTGTGTCAGGTCAGGTGTGTGTGTCAGGTGTGTGTGTGTCAGGTGTGTGTGTCAGGTGTGTGTGTCAGGTGTGTGTGTCAGTGTGTGTGTGTGTCAGGTGTGTGTCAGGTGTGTGTGTCAGGTGTGTGTGTCAGGTGTGTGTGTCAGGTGTGTGTGTCAGTGTGTGATGGGGCCCTCTTGTGTGTGTGTGTCAGGTGTGTGTGTGTCAGGTGTGTGTGTCAGGTGTGTGTGTCAGTGTGTGTGTGTGTGTCAGGTGTGTGTGTCAGGGTGTGTGTGTCAGTGTGTGTGTGTGTCAGTGTGTGTGTCAGTGTGTGTGTGTGTGTCAGGTGTGTGTGTGTGTGTCAGTGTGTGTGTCAGTGTGTGTGTCAGTGTGTGTGTCAGTGTGTGTCAGTGTGTGTGTGTGTGTGTGTGTCAGGTGTGTGTGTGTGTGTGTGTGTCAGGTGTGTGTGTGTCAGTGTGTGTGTGTGTCAGTGTGTGTGTGTGTGTGTGTGTGTGTGTGTCAGTGTGTGTGTGTCAGGTGTGTGTGTGTCAGTGTGTGTGTGTGTGTCAGGGTGTGTGTGTCAGGTGTGTGTGTCAGGTGTGTGTGTGTGTGTCAGGTGTGTGTGTGTCAGGTGTGTGTGTGTCAGTGTGTGTGTGTGTGTCAGTGTGTGTGTGTCAGTGTGTGTGGTCAGGTGTGTGTGTCAGTGTGTGTGTGTGTGTCAGGTGTGTGTGTGTCAGGTGTGTGTGTGTCAGGTGTGTGTGTCAGGTCAGGTGTGTGTGTCAGTGTGTGTGTGTGTGTGTGTCAGGTTGTGTGTGTCAGTGTGTGTGTGTGTGTCAGGTGTGTGTGTCAGTGTGTGTGTGTCAGGTGTGTGTGTCAGGTGTGTGTGTCAGTGTGTGTCAGTGTGTCAGTGTGTGTCAGTGTGTGTCAGGTGTGTCAGGTGTGTGTGTGGTGTGTGTGTGTGTGTGTGTCATGGTGTGTGTGTGTGTGTGTCAGGTGTGTGTGTGTCAGGTGTGTGTGTCAGGTGTCTGTTGTGTGTGTCAGGTGTCTGTTGTGTGTGTCAGGTGTGTGTGTGTCAGTGTGTCAGGTGTGTGTGTCAGTGTGTGTGTCAGGTGTGTGTGTGTGTGTGTGTGTCAGGTGTGTGTGTGTCAGTGTGTGTGTCAGGTGTGTGTGTCAGGTGTGTGTGTCAGGTGTGTGTGTGTCAGGTGTGTGTGTGTCAGGTGTGTGGTGTGTGTGTGTGTGTGTGTGTCAGGTGTGTGTGTCAGGTGTGTGTGTCAGGTGTGTGTGTCAGGTGTCTTGTGTGTGTCAGGTGTGTGTGTGTCAGGTGTGTGTGTGTGTGTGTGTCAGGTGTGTGTGTCAGGTGTGTGTGTCAGGTGTGTGTGTCAGGTGTTACCTGGAGGAGGAGCAGGTGTGAGTCCAGAGTTGAACACAGAGCAGAGACACAGACGCCTCGTCGCTCATCTGTAACTGCTCATAATGAACCGAACTCAACACTGGAAATACAAACGCACAACATCACACAACAACACACACACTCACACACAGGTGTGTCACAGGTGGTTGTGCGTCTGTACCTTGTGTTGTGAGGTGGTTGTGCGTCTGTACCTTGTGTTGTGAGGTGGTTTGTGCGTCTGTACCTTGTGTTGTGAGTTGTGGTTGTGCGTCTGTACTTGTGTTGTGAGGGGTGTGCGTCTGTACCTTGTTTGTGAGGTGGTTTGTGTGCGTCTGTACCTTGTGTTGTGAG